CAGAGCTTCAGTCTCTGATCAACAGCCTCGTCCTGCATCAGAAAGCAAACAGCTGATCGATCAATAAACAGTGAATCTGTCAGAAAGAAGAATATTAAGTTTGATTGTTAAAATGATAAAAATACAGAATACAGAGAGAGAATGGATCAATATATCAGGAAACCTCATCTCTGATCAAATAATCAAACTTCCTGCAGTGACTGAGTTCACTGTTTGTGTTCATTGATCAGTTGATCAGCTGTTCTCTGCTGTTATTGATCAATATGAAATATAATACAGTCACTGATAGATCAGGTTAGAAGCAATAAAGCACAAAGTGAGTCTAAATAAAGACGAGTCGATGATCTCAGAGACACTTTAACATCTTTGTGTCAGACTTTATTTCTGAAGGCGACTCAGCACTCGGGTATAAATACCATCAGCTCCATAATACTGCAGCCAGCAGCATGATTCAGCACAAAACTACCACCAGCTCTGTATTACTGCAGCCGGAATCATGATTCAGCACAAAACATGTTTCTGAAAGTAAATTCTGTCAACAAAACATCAGACGTCAGTTCGACCTGAAACATTCAGTGAAGACAGTACGAGTTTTCAACTTTTACATTACATTTTTTAACTCCAGTTTACAGTGCAGCTCTCTCATTCGACTCATAGCTAATAAATGAATAAATGTATTATTATTAATGTTAAACATATAAATATATAAACAGATAAACAGATAAATACAGACTCAGTCGACCTTGTCTTTGTCACTGACGAGGACAGTCTACGGTTATCACTTCATACTCTTATCAAACTGAGTGTGATGTGACATTCAGGTCGACCTCTTCGTCCTCTTCACATCCACAAACAGCCCTGATGACAGCCTCAGTCTGTTTCCCAGCATACCTCACTCCAGCAGGGTCAGAAACAAGACCCTCCTGAAACCCCCCCCCCCTTAGACAGAGCTATTCCCGTCCTCTCACCACTCAGTAAAAATAACCTCCGTTTACAGACTAAGTAAGGCCAGGAGGCGTTCAGGGACCCCAGTAAATATAGGACAACATGCTCAGTGTGAGGCTGGGAGAGTCCCTTAGAAAGGGCGAGGAGACCGAAATAAAACTTTATTAATGACGAGGACAATAAAACAGTTAAGAATCAAATCAAAACTTTATTCACACCTTCAAAAGTTACAGCAGAGTCTGCAGTTCAAGTTTCCAGTTGTACAAAGAGACAATAAAGTAACTCTCTCTCCAGACTTTGTCTGAAGAACGAGAGACAAAAACATTGAAAAATAGAAAAGTATAAAAAGTCACAAGTAAAAAACTTTCCCAAAAGATTGCACGTCTCGTCAACGTTGAGTCCTCTGACAGGTTTCTTACTGTTGTTACTTTCTGTCAGCGTCCTGGTCTTCCTCCTCGCCCCCCTGTCTGAAGTCCATTCTAGCAAGAACGGCCTCGGCCTCCTGGGTGTCCAGGCTCAGGTGCTCCATGCTCTCGTAGCCCGGCTCGGGCCTCTTCAGCTGAGCCGCGCTGGCCGCCTGTCGGGCCTCCTCCTGCAGCTGCTTGGCGGTGAGGAGGAACTCTGCGGCGCTGCAGGACTGCACGCTCTGCGACAGTTTCTCCTGCAGCTGGTTGCTGAGCTGCAGCTGCTGCTTGTACTGCTCCGCCAGCTTTCTGAGCGCGGACACTTTGTCCTGCTCCACCTGGCCGATCTGCTCCAGCAGCTGGCCTTTACGCTCCTCCAGGATGGCGTACAGCAGGTCGAAGCTCTCACCCAGCCGCCTCTTCTTCAGCTCTCCGTTCTCCTGGATCAGCTTACACATGTCGTCCATCTGCGCCACGACGGCCTGGACGCAGCTGTTTCCTGCGGCGAGCAGCTCCACGGCCGAGCGCAGCTCATTCTTCTGGCTCTGGTAGATGGCGTGCAGCGGCGACACCTCGCAGTCTTTGTGCTGGCCAAACACCTTGCACATGGAGCAGGTGGGAATCTGGCAGCTGACGCAGTAGATGTTGATGCGTTCTTCCTCGTGCTCCTTACACATG